AACTTACCCATAAGTGATAGACATTCGTGATATGGATGATGGGGTCTTGTACAGAAGAGTGTTCTGTGTGGTTTTTCCTGGAGTGACCGAGTAGAGAAATGCAGGCTGCAGCTGAGCCCCCCACCTCCCACCATGGGCCTGCTCACCAGGCCAGTGACTGCCTGCTGGTGCCTGCACCCTCGTGTCTCGTGGGGCAGGCCTGGCTCTCGGACCCTGCAGCGGCGGAGCTCGGCACAGCTGCCTCCTGTTGGGGTGTCTTATCCGGCTCTCAGGCTGTTAGAAAGGGAGCTTCCCTGCACGGGTGCTATGGTTTCTGGTAAGCAAAGTCGCCGTTTGCTTACGAAAATCAGGGAACCCAACCTGCGTCCATCGCAGGAGCCGGAGCAGCCCGCTCCCTCGGCAGTGCGTCTACCGCATCCCGCTCCCTAGCAGAGGAACCAGGTATGGCTCACGTTCCAGAACGTGCTCCATTTGTGCAGCCGGGTGAGCTGAAGCTACCATAATTGAAAAGATCATAATTTCTTTTTGTTTTTTAAGGGTTTATTTATTTATTTGAAAGTCAGAGTTACACAGAGCGAGGAGAGGCAGAGAGAGAGAGAGAGAGAGAGAGAGAGAAAGGTCTTCCATCCACTGGTTCTCTCCCCAGTTGGCTGCAACGGCCAGAGCTGCACAAGTCTGAAGCCACGAGCCAGGAGCTTCTTCCAGGTCTCCCACGCGGGTGCAGGGGCCCAAGGACTTGGGCTTTCCCAGGCCACAGCAGAGAGCTGGATGGGAAGTGGAGCACCTGGGACTCAAACCAGCGTCCATATGGGATGCTGGCACTGCAGGCGGTGACTTTATCCAGAGATTTCTATCGAACCACCAGTCGTGCAGAACAGACGGGCAGCATGAGGTCCCCTGGGTTGCTTGGAAGGCAGCACATGGTAGCTGGGTGGAATCGCCGTCGAACTCAGAATCCTAAGGCTTTCTGAGGGGAGTTTGTCTGTTTCTAAGGTGATTGGCGTCTCTTCTCAGACCCATTGCAGCATCGCGAGTCCCGGCTGCAGCCTCGCCTGTGTCCACCGCGGCCGTGCTGCTGATGTGTCCCTCTGCGCCTGTGTCTGTGGCTGGGCCTAGGGCCTGGCCTAAGTGAACCTTAGTCCTCAGTTGGGTACGAAAGAGTCTGCTGTTAGAAGTGAAAGCACTTTCTCTGAAATGTAAGGTCTTGTTAGCCTTGCACCCTGCGGTACTGCCCGAAAACTGTAACGGCGCGAAGCTTGGGGTCAGGCTGTCGGCCAGACGTGTGAGAGACACTCACAGGCCCTTCACTCCGTGAGCAGTCGCAGGCCAGCTGTCCTGTGGGGCTCTCCCTCTCGCAGCCCCTTCTTTCACTACCGTATTTATCTGCAAACTCCAGTCCTCTGTGCCGGGCAGGCCTTCGAGCCCTGACAGGGAGTGGCTGGTCTGGTCCTGGCCACCCAGTGAGGTGGGCGCTGTCGTCCCCCGTTCACGGAAAGGCTCCTGCAGCCCGGAGCCCCACCACGGGGGACGAGGGTTCTCCCCGAAGCAGCCTGAGTCTGGAGCCACGCTCCCCCCACCTCCTGCGAGGCTGCGAAGGCCAGCACCGCCTCACCTGCTGCAGGCCCAGACGCCGGGCGCTTCAGTGCTTTTGTGGCTTCTCAGTTGGCTATTTTAGTACCGCTCTGACACGGTCTGTTTAATCGTTCACCTGTAAGTTCAGAAACGTGGTGTGAACTTGCGATAGGCCGAAGTTAAGTTGATGTATCCACCACCTTTTAAAATCGTAAGGTAATGGCCCCTTCAGCTTTGAACTGCAGCTCAGAAGCACCGCTCCAGGGTGCCTGTCAGTTCTGTTTCTTGGTCGTTGTTTTCTCGTGCGGGAAGCTGGTTGCTACACGGCGGACTAGCAGGAAGTATTACTGCGGCGGATGGAAGGCGGTGAGGAGCTTGTCTGGGAATTTGCCAAAAAAGAAGAGACGGGGTTTCTGCCCTTGCGTAGTCACACGCAGGCCACCTCCAGGCCCCTGCCCATGAGTGGGCAGTGTTCATTCCACGCATTGATTGGCCAAGCATTGAACTTATTTACATTTCCAAAGAATTGTTGTGACTGCCAAACACAAACATTTCACAAGAAGCGAGGGGAACTGGGGTTCCTGGCCTTGAGGGGGCCAGGTCTCCGGAGGGTTGGGTGGCAGAGCACAGGGCTCTGGGCGTGCCAGTGCTTCCGGTTTCTTGGTTAAGGAGCTCTCTCAGTGCCCTAAGAATATACGGGTCCATTTAAGGTCCGCAGACACCGTGGGAAAGCAGTAACACGTTCGTCCTGAGGCGAGGGTTTCTCCCTCCGCAGCTCACAGGACGCATTTTCCCGGTTCTCTTTTTTCTTTTACTTTGTTATTGGTGGAAGAAACAATGAGACGTCTTCCAGCCAACACCCTAGGTGTGGTGAGGATTCGTGTGCGACCTGGGGCTTTCTGGGAAGTCCATTTGGCAGAAGGTTGAAGCCCATGAAGCTTGCCCTCTGCTCGAGTGAGTTTGCAGTTGCATTGTGTTCCTTATATTTGGCTTAGGAAGAGAAATAAAAGGCATTTATTCTCCAAATACACCATTGTAAGTTGTTTTTAACTTACAATTAATACTTACAAAATTACTTACAAAAGTAATACAGTGTGGGGCCAGTGTTATGGCGCAGTGGGTTAAAGCCCCAGCCTGCAGTGCCAGCATCCCATATGGGCGCCGGTTCGAGTCTGGCTGCTCCAGTTCTGAGCCGGCTCCCTGCTAATGCATCTGGGAAAGCAGTAGAAGATGGCCCAAGTGCTTGGGCCCCTGCACCCACGTGGGAGACCTGGCAGAAGCTCTTGGCTCCTGGCTTTAGATTGGCTCAGCTCCGGCCATTGCAGCCATTTGGAAAGTGAACCAACGGATAGAAGGCTGCTCTCTCGCTCTCTCTCCCTCCCCACCCCCGTAACTCTTTCAAATAAGTAAATCTTTAGAAAAAAAAAAATGAAGTCTGCACAGTGTGAGTACAGACAGCACTGAAGTGGCCCGCTGTTTTAGAATGTCAGTTTCGCAAGGTGGAGAGCGGATCCGTGGCTAGACTGTAGTGACGCCTCCAGCAGTGTGTGTGTACGTGGCAACACTGAGCTGAACCCTTACAGTGCTTGGGATGGTACATTTCATGTTAGATATATTTGATGACAGTTGCAATTTTTTTGAAAAACAAGCAATATGGTGCTTATTAATTTTCCTCAATATAGAGATGTAAGAGTAAAAATTGGCAGTTATCTTTTTCCACCCACCTCCCTAATGTGCCTCTTCCCAGATTTTCCACTGAAGAGACAGTGAGGGCGAGTTCTTATCCCAGCCCTTAGGGTGCCTGGAATTCCTGGCGCTGGCCCTGACTCCAGCTTCCTGCCAGTCAGAGCCTTGGAGGACTGGTGATAGCTCCTGGAATTGAGTTCCAGCCGCCCCGCTGGGAGAGCTGGTGGCATTCCTGGCTCTGGCTGCAGCCTGGCCACTTGAACCAACAGACGGGCATGCTCTCCTTCTTCCCTTAAAACATAAGTAGGTGTGAGTTGGTCCTTCAAATCACTTTTGCACCATAATAAATACAATTGTGACAGTTAAGTAAAATAAAAATACATTGAGGAGAGCATCATTTGGGATGATGAGAACCATACGTTTGTGATTTTTTAAAAAAGATTTATTTATTTATTTGAAAATCAGAGTGACAGAGAGAGAGATCTTCGTTTGCTGATTTACTCCCCAAGTGACGGCAACAGCCAGGGTTGGGCCTTGCCGAAGCCAGGAGCCAGGAGCTTCTTCTGGGTCTCCCACTGGGTACAGGGGCCCTAGGACTTGGGCCATCCTCAGCTGCTTTCCCAGGCACATTAGCAGGGAGCTGGATTGGCAGTGGAACAGCCGGGACTCGAACCGGCACCCACATGGGATTCTGGTGTTGCAGGTGGCAGCTTTACCTGCTGTGCCACAACACCGGCCCCATTTGTGACTTCCTTAAAGCCAAGTTTACTGCTCCTTCCTTTTCCCCCTGGGAGCAGCGTGTGCGGATGGAGTGTTGCAGCTGGTAACACGCAGGCTGCAGAGAGTGCAGGGAGGGTGCAGCACCCCTGCCTCCCGGTGTTCAGCAGGAGGTGCTAGGGGCTTTCCTCTGTGTGCTCCCTCGGCGGCCGGAGCTCCCCCCACCCTGGGCTGGGCGCCGGCAGCAGCTCACGCCTCTCCCCCGCTCTCTTCACTCTGGCCCTGCAGCCCCCGGTTCAGTCCTGGGTCCTCAGAGTGCACATCACTGCATCCCAGCTCCTCCACCCGTCTTGTGGTCCTGTGGCTTCAGTGGCATCAGGACTCACGGGCCCTGCAGAGTTCACCTCCATCTCTGTGTTACCTCGCCCCACCCCTGCGTTGTGGACCGACCCGCACCCTGCTGTGGAGACGTTCCCACAGCCGTGGGCGTGGTTTGCCCCGTGTCCTTCTCCCTTGGAGAACTTGTCTCCGTTCATTGCCACATGTCCGCGAGTGTGCGTCTTCTAACGACCTGGTGTCAGCTGCGTGTGTGTTGGGGTCATGTTTGTGTTCTCTGCGCCCCTCTTAGTGCACACTTGGCACTTAACGAGCTTTCAGAGGAAATGTTGAATGAACAGCTTGCTTTTTGTTGTTGTTGTTGGTGGTGGTGGTGGTGGTGGTGCTGGCTTTACAGAGCCGAGGGGCTTTGTGGGTAGGGAGTTGATGGTATCATGAACCTGCCTAACTAGCTCTTACTGCCCTGGCAATTTGGGTTTTGCCTTTAACTAAGCCTTTGGTTGGGATTCTTTTAAAACTGGACTTTGCAGCTGGGCTTTGCCTGGTAGCCTGGGGTGCTGTCAGGAGGAAGCAGGTAGATCGGGTAGGTGAAGCTCTCGCACCGCGATTCAGAATGAGCCAACGTGAGTTTCTGGAAGTAAGAGGCTCGACGTAAGCTGCTCTCTAACCAGTGCTTATTTCAATTCCAGGACGTGGTCCAAGACAATTCCTGGGAAAGTCGAGTTCTTCTCCAGTGAGGGCTCAGACACCTCTGTGCCGATCCCGGTGGTGCCACTGCGGGGCGTGGACGACTCCTACCCGCCCCAGAAGAAGTCCTTCATGATGCTCAAGTACATGCACGACCACTACCTGGACAAGTATGAGTGGTTCATGAGGGCGGATGACGACGTCTACATCAAGGGAGACCGCCTGGAGAGCTTCCTGCGGAGCCTGAACAGCAGCGAGCCCCTGTTCCTGGGGCAGACGGGCCTGGGCACCACGGACGAGCTGGGGAAGCTGGCCCTGGAGCCGGGGGAGAACTTCTGCATGGGGGGCCCCGGCGTGATCCTGAGCCGGGAGGTGCTGCGCAGGGTGGTGCCCCACGTCGGCAAGTGTCTCCGCGAGATGTACACCACCCACGAGGACGTGGAGGTGGGCCGGTGTGTGCGGAGGTTCGCAGGGGTGCAGTGCGTCTGGTCCTACGAGGTAAGAACAGAATTCTCCATTATGGGAACAAACTGCCGACTTTGACAAGGCCTTCGCATCGGTCATGGAGAGCTGGGGGCAAGATCACGGTCAGGGCTTAAAGTGGGTGCTGAATTTCTGTGCGTTCTTAATTTCTCTAAGTGTGAATTCCTGTTACTGCCTTTTCCTGGCTAGCGCTTGCCTGCCCTACGTCGTCTCGGTACGACAATGAGTAGTAGCGTTGAGCGCCTAAGGAAGAGGGGCGCTCTGCTGCTGCCCACGGCCATGTTTTCGTGGTTACCCAGAAAGCTGTCTGCCCGGACTTCTGCAGGAGAGTGTAGGACGTCCCCTCCTCTCAGCCCCCAACCCCTGACCATTTTCCGCTCGTGCTGACCCACACAGAGTGGAAACGCGCGTGTTTTGAATGTCCAAAACGAGTAGTGATGTCAAGAAGCCGGCAGCCTCTGGCTTTGCGTGTGCCGTGGGCCTTGACTGGAGACAGTCGTCACCTCTGGCTGTGCGGGTCAGCTGTCCCTCTCGGAGTGGACGACGGGCACTCTCCGAGTCACGTGGTAGACAAAGCATGGCGCCTCCCGGAAGCCCCAGGAGACCTCTGTCCTCATCAGCTGCGGGAGGGTGGGCGAGCGCAGGACGCCCCCCGTGTCTGCTGGCAGCTACGCACCCCTTACCTGCAGTGGCAGGATCCAGCAGCAGTGAGAGTCCTGGGGCTGTGCTGTGTGGAGGGCGACAGACGGGTCCTCGTGAGCGTCGCAGGGTCCCCAGGCCTTTCCCCGAGAAACCATGCCCTTCCCGGGAGAGCGGTTGGCTTTTCCTGGGTTGCGTTTCTGAAGCGCCGGAGTGTGGAGCGAGTTTGCGCACCTGCACCTGCCTCTCCCCAACATGGGCTTGTGAACGTCTCTTAATGGCTGTTTCTCTTGTGGGAACGTTGAGGGAGGTGTATGCTTTGTCAAGTGTACGTTTTCATGTTATTTAAAATCATAAATTCGCCAAGCCACAGTCAAAGGCCAGCATGTTGATCCGAGGGAGCCCTAAACTCGCTGTGTCTCAGCCTCCACGCCCGCACGGATGGCCGCCCCAGCCAGGAGGCCGCGGGTGAGGCCTGTGCAGCAGAGGCAGCCGTTGGGGGTTTTGTGCCGTGTTGTGCAGAATGCAGCTGGCAGTATCCCTGCCTTGTCCCCATTCTTAATTAAGCAGTTACCGCATTAACATAGTTCATTATGGCGAAGTTACGTAATGCTTTGTGTATTTTGGAGTGCTGTCCCCGACCCTGATCGAGAGAAGCTAGCCTTGCTGGAACTGCAGAGGGTAAGACCTTAGTGCAGTCGCGTTGTTATAACTCGGGCACCACTGGGTAGACATCAGCAGAGCCAGGATCTTGTTTTATCAAGAACTTTGACGCAGGATCCGTGCCCAGATGTAGTTAGAAAGTGTCGACCAGGGGCTGCGAGGGTTGGAGGCTGCCTTCCGTTACAGAGTCATCCCCAAGGGTTTGTGACGCTCTGCGTGGGCCGCCTGGCGTCATCTTGTCTGGGTGCTTGGTGCTCCCTGTAATGGCCTCGTGGCTGAGGCGACCAGCCCTGGTGGTTCTGTCTCCCTGCCTTGGGGGCTGTGTCAGGGACAGCAGCAGCCAGGCGCTAATGGGGCTGTGGCAGTCGGGGGTCCCGGCTGCTTTGTGGTCCTCCTGAGTGCCTTTGATGACAGAGTCTTCCCTGGGTCCTGCAACTCGCTCTCCAGGGGCTGTGCCCGGTGGCCGCCCGCTGTGGGGGTGTCTCCCTGCTGCGGTGGGCTGCCTGCTGTCAGTCTTGGCCCCGTGTCCACTTACGACGTTGACTGATGGCTTTGTCAGAGTGCCTTGTTCTGGGTGCAGTGTCTAACCCAGGCAGCGTCTTGTCTTTTCGCTGCCGTCGTGGGATTTCTGTTCCTCTGTGAATCCAGGCCTGGTGTCATTTACCGTTCTGCATTGTGGGGTTCTATTCTGTGCACACCACACTCCGAGTGTGGTCTTATTGGTCCTTCTTTCCTTAGGGCTTGTACTCAGTGTGCCTGGTTGAAAAGACGTTCTTCCTTCTCTGGCCCACAAAGATTTTGTCTGTGTGTTTTCTGCGTATTTAAGTTTTGCCTTGGGGCTGGCGCCATGGCATAGCGGGTAAAGCCACCGTCTGCGGTGTGGCATTCCATATGGGCACCAGTTCAACTCCCAGCTGCTCCACTTCTGATCCAGCTCTCTGCTGTGGCTTTGGAAAGCGGTAGAAGATGGCCCAAGATCTTGGGCCCCCGCACCCACATAGGAGACCCAGTTCCAGCCATTGTGGCCATTTGGGGAGTGAGCCAGCGGATGGAAAACCTCTCTCTCTCTCTTTGCCTCTCTGTAACTCTTGTCTTTCAAATAAATAAATAAATAAATAAATCTTAAAAAAAAAAAGAAAAATAATTGAAGCAGTAATTTGTTCTGTTTGGGCAAACATATGAAATACTACACTACCCTGTTAATAAAAGATGATGAAAATGTCACCTAAGTATTCTATTCATTTTATTTTAAACATTATTATTAATAAAATTTTAGAGAGAGAATGAACTCCCATTTGTGAGTTCACTTCTGAGATGTCCGCAGCAGCCAGGGCTGGGCCAGGAGCTAATCACTCCAAGTCGCCCTTTTGGGTAGCAGGGACCTAATCAATTGAGCCATCACCTGCTGCTTCCCAGTGTCTGCACTGGCAGGAAGCTGGAGTTGGGAGCTGGAACTGGGACTCGAACCCAGGCACCCCAGAGTGAAATGTGGGCATCTTAACTACTGGCCAAATGCCTGCCCCTGTTTATTTTAACTCTTACTGGTATATACTGTGTCTACAGAAAGGCACATGGACAGTAAATGTGGAGTTGATCGGGTTTTCACAAACTGGACAGTTGAACAGCCAGCACTACATATTACTAATGAAATCCGGAGATGCCAAAGGTGGATTTGACACCTTTAAAGAAGTTGTTGTCTCTAATAGCTAATGCCATCATATGATTCAAAATTCACAAGTGCAGGGGCAGGTTGTGGTGTAATGGGTTAAGCCACCGCCTGTAACACTGGTATCCCATATGATGCCAGTTTGAGATCTGGCTGCTCCACTTCAATCCACCTCCCTGCTAAGGTGCCTGGAAAAGCAGTGAAAGATGGTCCAAGTCCTTGGGCCCCCACACCCACGTGGGAGACCTGGAAGAAGCTCCTGGCACCTGCCTTTGGTCTGGCCCAGCCCTGGCTGTTGCAGCCATCTGAGAAATAAACCAGTGGACAGAAGATCTGTCTGTCTGTCTCTCTCTCTCTGTTAACTTCTCCTTTCAAATAAATAAAATCTTTTTAAAAAACTGGAAAGTGCAAAGGGTCTACAAGGGTAAATCTGTAGTCAGTCACCGTGTGTGTCCCTGCAGAGGGACCGTGTGGGGTGCAGCACCATGTACACGCAGTGAAGTTGTGTGCTTTCTCTTGTGCACGAATGGTAGCATATGATATGTGCTATCCACATCTCGCTGATTTTCACTTTTAAAGTTAGTTTTTTGGATATGGAATTTGTGGTTAATAGTCATTTTCTGTCAGCACTTTGAATGGAGGCTTTTTGGCATCCTTGGTTTCACTTGTTTTTTATTTATTTGAAAGACAGAAAAGAGCTGCCATCCACTAGTGCACCCCCCATGGGAGCCTGGCACTGAGTTCAAGTCTCCCATGTGGGTGGCAGGGACTAAGTGTTTGAGCCGTGGCCACCATGCGTTAACAGGAAGCTGGGGTCAGGAGCAGAGCCAGGACCACGGGCAGGTGGCTGGCGTGGGGAGCCTTTCTTTGGCAGGCAGCAAACACCTGGAGGCACAGGTGTGGGAGTCGCCACTTGCAGGCCTGCCTCGGCCCTCAAGGCCACCTGGAGGGTCAGAGACCTGGAGTCCACTTTGTTAGGGCAGCAGTCAGCAGCAGGTGGGGTCACACCTCCACAGAGACCTCAGGGCAGGGCTCTTTGCCTTCCTGTGCGCTGCTCAGAAGTGGCCTGGTGGCCCTGAGTGACCCCGGCATCTCGACCCATACCCCAGGATCGCTCAGACCCTCGATGGCTGAAGTGCTGGGCGGAACACCCGTGCCCACCCGTAGTTTCTGACAGCCAGTCAGTTGTTAACTCACTGGGCTCCCTTGGGTGTGATCGCCGGACTCTCGCTGCTTTCTGATTCTCACTGTGCTGCGGTGTGTCTTGGAGTGACTCCGTCGGTCTGTCATTCTTGGGGTTTGTTGAGCTTCTCAGGGGTGTAGCTTGTTTGCTTTCCTTAGTGTGGAGAAAGCCTCAGCTACTGTTGCTTTAGATACTGCTTCCACCCTTCTCTCTCTCCGCCGCCCCGCCTCCTTCCGGAATGCCATCCTGGTGTGCCCGCTCTGTTACCTCCTCCTCCTCCTCCTTCCTTTCTGTTCCTGAGACTGGATCTTCTCAGTTGACTTCCGCAGGGGCACCGATGTTCTGTCTGCTTAAATCCGTTGTGAGGTTTTCATTTCAGAAGTCACACTCTTCAGCTCCATAGTTTCTTTTGGATTCTTTAAAATAAATAAGTAATAATTCCTGATTCTTTATTGGTTTCTTTTTCCCCCTGTGAGTGAGCCGTACATTCTTGTTTCTTTGCTGTCTCAAGTTTTAGTTGGGAGCCGGGAGTTGATGTGGCGCTACCTCTGGAAGTGAGATTCTGTCCCTTGCCCAGGGTTTGGTGGTGGAACCGTCTGTGGGTGACTTCTCCGACTTCGTTCTTCCCCTGTGTGTGTGGTGTCCAAAGTCTCCACTGGCTTTGCTTCGTGCTCAGAGGCCTCCTTAGTTGCCTGGAAGCGAGATGCCTCCTGGTTTTGGCAGAGGAACCCTGTGCCTGCTGGCGCATGCCCTCCACACTTGCGGGGCGGAGGACTCTGCGCCTTCGCCGTCACTCCCTGCTTCAGCTGCACCTCAAAGTCAGGTGGGGGCTTAGGGTCTTCCCAACCCTGAGCCTGCTGACCA